AACAAAAAACCAACTCAAAAAGAAAAGTGCAAATAGCGCCAAAATAAAGCGAAAGAACACCACACTTAAGAACCTGAGGAAGCAGATAATTGACCACAGTGCGCGCAACAACCACAACAAACAACTTGTGTCAACGTTGATGCCAAAGTCAGAATATAAAAACAAAAAACAAGAAAACTAAAAAAGTCATAGGGTCCCTTGCGACTGTAAAATAAAAATTTTTATCTTTCGTGTTGCTGGTCACCTTCTGCCGGTCACCATTTAATGCTAACAGCAGCGACGGGCGCATGTTTAATAAATATTAACATTTTGTTATAGGTATGTATGTGCATATATACGCTGTCCTTTTTATGTACCAACCTGATGGCATTTTATTTCTCTTTGCTTTTCAGTAGTCAGTCATTACTCGCATTTGATTGAACTTTTCTTGAAATTACGTGGAAGAGTTGAAGCAATGAAAGGTTTTTTAGATGAGTTTTGTAAATTAAAAAAGTGAAATTTAAACCATTAAGTTTTGATAAACTTTACACAATTCTAAATACATTTGTAATACTTTTTATAGAGCATTACTTACTGTAGCTAAAAATTTTAAACAAATTCGATTCTAAGCCATCTTTTCGCTTACACGATACTGATAAATCAGCCCGGCTGCCTCTTAAACTATATATCATGGATACGAATTACTTAGAAAAGAAAGCCTTAAATTATAGTAAAATACTGAAAACAGGTGGCAACCCTCCTCAAAAATATTTTCGGCAGTAAACTTTCCTAAATCTCTCCAGTTTGATACCCATATTGCAATATTTAATTTATCGAATCAATTAAATTAAATTAAAATTTCAAAACATGTGGCAACCACCAAAAAAAATATTTTCGGCTGTAAGCCTTCTCAAACCTCTTTCATTTGACAGTCGCATTCGATTCCATGCCTTAGTTTTCGAGTAATACGCGTACAAACATACAGACAGACAAAGAAACATAAAAATTTAAAAAAAAAATTGCTGATATAACTTCTGTTACTGTAATAAAGACCCCCCTAATAGACTAATGAGTCTAAAGTTGACCGCTCTGTGAGTTAAGCGAAGGCAAAAAGAAAAATATTTATAAATACTGAAAAAACAATAATAATAATATGGAATAAATTTCTGACTTAGCTTCGTTTTAATGTCTTTCTATTGCGTAAACTCTCGCTTTGCTTTTAATCTGGTTTGCTCGCTTGCATGACATCACCTCAGCATTTAAAATATTACTGAAGCGGCATTTTTTTAAAATAAAATTTAAATAAAGTACGTACGTATGCACACATACCAGCATGTGATTGTACTTTTTTCTGATATACTACTTGCAAACGTACATTCATATGTGTGCATATGCAAATAAATTGGCAGTAAGTGTAATTTTTAATTACTCGTAGTATTTGATGCTTAATTGTCTTAAAAAATAGTAAAATTTTAAAGCGAAATAAATCCGCTGGCTAAAAAAATACCTTAATTATAGGTGATTGTTGTAAGTAACTAAATTTTATTCCTTGAACTCAAGATTAGTATTCTTGAAATTAAATTTTACATTCACTTCCAATAAAAGTGCCTTCACACGTAGCCAAAAGGCCAACTGAAGCCAAGACTTAATTTATTTGGTTTGTTCATTTACTCGTAGTTTAACTCTTTCTGTCTTTGCATTCGTGTAAAGTTTTTCAAGTTTTCTATACATTTATAAAACAGTCACTATGTATCAAAAAATATGCCGCTGCAGAGGATTTTCAAAACATCCTATAGATTTTATACGGACGTGGATAGGTAGCGATCACTAGAGAGACATAAAATTTTACAAAGAAAGAACTTTATTATAATGCTGGGCATTATACACTCCCATACAATGCTTTTTCGTTTTTTCTGGTTTATTTTTCTCCTATTTATTTAATTTCCATTATTTCTCAATTACAATCATGGTACAATTATTACAGCTATTGGCTGTCCAGAGAGCGCATATTCCGATCTTCTAACAAATGTACATGTACAAGTATGAATATCAAAAAAAAAATATTTTTTCTAACAAATATTTATTAAAATTTTTTTTTCAATTACCATTCTTCCAAAAAATTGTTTTTTTTTTTTTATAAAATAAACTCTTTTCTAAACACTATCCATTATCCAATTTTTTTATAAAAATTTACATATTACTTAGAAAAAATTTTTTCCGAAGACTAGGTTTTTCTATAAATTCATTTTTTGTACTTGTTGTATGTTAGTTTCTAAAAATTTTTGATAAAAAAGCTAAGTAAAAATTAGGTGAATTAAAAAAAAAATGTTAAGTCCACTCAATTTCCTTATGGACGTCAAAACCCTCCGGGAAAAATGTTTCCTTTAGTCCTGAAAGGGTTAATTAAGAAATTTGTATTTTATTTGAAAAATTATAAAAATTAAATTGAGCGAATAAAAAAGCAAAGCCAATTAAAAGCAAAAGAATCAACATTGAAATGCGTGAAAATGAAAATAAGTGAGCACGAATTTCGATTGAAGCGAAATTCTCTGGCAAGATAACCATCACATCACAGATCACTTACCAACCAAAACCTTATAAACGCAAGTTTAAAACTTGGGAGAAAAAAATCATCAAAGGGTTAAACCTTTTCTCGGAGTTTTCAGCATTTTTTTTTTAGTTTCGTAGCCCATTCAATGTTAACAATGTTAATAACAAAGTACAGCTGATATAATGAGAGCATCATAAAATGAAGAATAATAATGGAAATTAAATTTAAAAAAAAAAAACGAAAAAGCATTGTTCTTATTCAAATACATTGAAGTGTGTGTGTATACAAGGGTGGTCAACAAAATGAGTGTGAACAAGTAAAAAAGTCTAAGTTCGGGCGGAGCCGAACATTAAATACCCGGCGCAATTATTAAATATATGTTTTCCACCTTTCCGAAAACTACCGCTACACGATAAGCCGGGGTGTATAAATTTTAAGTAAATTAGCGTCCTTAAATTTGGAAATATTGAAGTTTCAAGCATTACTGAAATATACCGTTATATGAAAAGCGGTCGTAATTTAGTCCGATTTCAATAATTTTCAGCGCTTTGCTTTTATGTGGCAAGCACAATGACCGTACCGAGTTTGGTAAAAATTGGTAGAACGTTTACAGAGACACATATATGTGATCATAAGTGGGCGGTGCCACGCCCATTTTCCAAAATTGTATCATAAGCGTATTTCTTGGTAAAAAATTGTTGCAGGCATCAATTTTGAATAAATTAGCTTTAATATTTACTGATTTATCGAGGATTTCGTATTTTTCTAAATTACCGTTATATGGGATGTGGGCGTGGTTATTGTCCGATTTTAAAAATTTGGTATGTTGTAGCAGGACCAACAACTGTGCCAAGTTTGGAAGAAATTGGTGCAGCGGTTACCAAGATATACGCATGTAACCATAAGTAGGCGTGGCTACGCCCATTTGCCAAAATTTTTTTATATTCTTATTTCTCGTCTAAACCTCATTGTAAATATCAATTTTGAGTGAATTATCTTCAGTGGTTACTAAAATATCGCACTTTTCGTATTTCTGAAAATTACCGTTATATGGGAGGTAGGCGTGGTTATTGTCCGATTTCGCCCATCCGTCCCATGAACAAAAGAAGTCCACGTACCAAGTTTCGTTAAGATATCTAAATTTTTACTCGAGTTATCGTGTGCACAGACGGACGGACGGACGGACGGACGGACAGACAGTCACCGCTTAATCGATTTCTCTTTTCATTCTGATCATTTATGTATACATTTGTCTATATCTATCTCGATTCGTTTTGCCTGTTACAAACAACCGTTATGTGAACAAAGTTATAATACCCTTGTGCACAAGTGCGCTTGGGTATAAAAAGTAAAGTCGAAATTTTTATGCTCTCACCCTCTAGGACTGTTCTATACCGAAAAAAAATATATGTTTACCTCTATTTTTTATTTTGAAATAAAAAAATGTTTAGAGGTCGCTCAAACCCTCAAAGTTTTCCATGCATTTTATATGAAAAAAAAAAACTATTTTTCCTTCAAATGGTAAAGAATTCTTAAGAATCAGTATTTTTCGACCGGACTATGTTTCTCTGCAGGAGACTCCCAATAATAATACCCACTTGTTTATTTAACCATTTTTTCATAGTAACTATAACTTATAGTTCCACCAAAAACCCAGAAAAATGTAATGGTTAAATAAACAATTGGGTATTATTATTGAAAGTCTCCTGAGAATAGCCAGAGTTTTCCCATCGGAGAATATTGCTTTTCCAGAATTCTGTGTCGTTTCTACGAAAAATTGATTTTTTGCATATAAAACACATGGAAAACTTTGAGCGTTTTGAGCACTCTCTAAATATTTTTTGATCTCAAAATAAAAAAATGGGGTATACTTTTTTTGATATAGAACAAGCCTAGGGGTGAGAGCATTAAAATTCCGACTTTACTTTTTTTTTGGACCACCCTAATGTATACTCACTGCATGCTGTACGTGTTTAGCTCTTTGCGAGTCCTATGTTTTTTAATACAACAAATAAGACTTTCTCTGATTTTTTATTTTCTTTACTCAATGCATAATTATTTTAATCCTCGTAAAATATTCTTTATTATCTGAGTAGATAATAGATTTAATCATTATAAAAATTACTCGTTCTTTATCATTTCGATTATACGACTCAAATAATGACCGTAATAAAACTTGAATATGAATGTATTTCATTTGCAAACATACCCTGTAGGAAAATACTTATGAATTTAATGACTTTATCACAGTAGTTAGGGCGTTAGTTAAGTGCTTGGTCTCATCGTCTTCAACATGTTCGGTGCATATGAAATCGTAGTCGGTTGTGACCAGTTAAGTGCCCACAGAGTAATCTAATGTCATTTATTTTTAATAGAAAAATATCATTTTTAATGAAGGGGTAACCAACGAGCCTCACCTGGCTATGGCCCTCTATATTTACTACGTTCAGAGTGTACCCACTTAGTAACCATGGCTTTCGAAGAAGATCCACTGAGACAACAAACTGGTTCCGGTCCTACAAAGGCAGTTAAAGATTCTGCTGGTGTCAACTCGCCAGGGACCATCAATGAGGTGGATTCGATGCCACAGTGGACTGGTACCGAGCACACCGTTAGAGTAGAACTGTATACCAAAACTTTTGCGAGTTCGTGCTTTCAGCCTTATGAATCAAGCCTAAAAAGCGCTGAACTGCTGGAAAGCTTGGTATTAGGTTCCAACATGCGGAAGTTTGCAATTGCTTCTGTGAAGACAAAGTGAGGTTAAATTTTGAAATAGCAGGTCGACGTTTTCCACAGGGTGAATATTTATCTTCTAACTCGCGCAGCTTGGCGGATACTCTTTGAACACTTGAATAATAATAAAAATTACCCAGCATCAATTTTTGCATTGTTTCGACTGCATACATATATAACAATTTACCACACACAGCTACATACAAACGCGCACAAAGTGGAGTATTAATTAAGACAACAACACTAATAACAATGAAGGCCAAAATGGGCAACAATAAATAAAAAGCAAGTAACAAAGAAAAGGCAAATAAGAAAAGTGCCTTAATAAAAATTTCACACAAAAAAAAAAAACAAAACAGAACATGAAACCCGTGAGCGCACTTCTTGTGTGGCGATAAATGAAGCTCCATTTGGACGCTTGGAGTAGCCACTCTACAGCATGAGTGTCTAAAGCATCGTTGCGAAATAAATGGCGCGTAACGAATTTGTGCTAATTTGCCAATTTGCATCAGAGTTGCATGCCACTTTTTTCGTTTCTGTTTTATCAGCAAAAGTAAGAATATTGATTATTTGGGCTAAAGGCAGTGGTGCTGTGAATACTTTGCGCATTCAATTTGCTACTATTACATTTCGATGGTAAGAAAATAGAAGAAGAAATACAAACTACATTGAAATATTCTTTTTGGCTAGAGATAGCGTTACAATCAATTACAACAATATTGAATATCAAAAAGGAAACAGGAGAGGAAATGCAGTTTCTTTGGGTTTCCATATTCAGCCAAGTAGGTACTCAACCGTGCATTTGCGATAGTGCAAAATATATACATATATATATATAGGGTGATTTAGCGCTCGCATTCGTTTCTTGTATTTCTTTCAAACAATTGATGCTACAGGCTTTGGCAAACTTGGTCATGGAGCGATACTCAGTTGAACAACGCGTAAAAGTCCAATCCAAATGTTTAATGAAAATGGTCGTTTAGCAAGGAGTGCACTCCGCTCATTGCGTAATTTTTACGATCAGCACTACCGGCCGTCTGGCTAAATAATGAGCCACAAAATCCACATGTCATTCAAGAAAAAAGTGTGCACCCAAAACGAGTCACTGTTTGGTGTAGTTTTTGGCCTGGCCGAGTTACCGGACCTTACTGCTTCGCAAATTTTTCCGGTAACGCTGTCATGGTGAAAGTCATCGTGACATGAAAACAAACTTTATGGCCTGAATTAGATGCCATGGACCTTGCCAATATTTGGACGGTTCCCCTTGCCCCACACCGCATAAAACAATGGCACTGTTCCGAAAGATGTTCCCATGATGCATTATCTCACGAAAGAACGAAGTCAAATGTTCGCCAAGATCTGGAAATTTGACAACATTGGACTTCTTTCACTGGGGCTACAGGAGAGGTATGGTCTATTCCTGTAAGCTCGAAATCATTCCAAAGCTGAAGAACGAAATCATAGAACTATGCCAAAAGCCATAGAAAATTTTGGTATGCGAATCTAAAGTTGCCAGAGGAGTCGTGATGGGCATTTAACAGATATTGTGATTCATATATACATAAGTGCCATAGACCAAAAAACATGATGAAATATAAAAAATCTTTTTTAATCACCCTGTTCATGTTGACTTTTTCCATAAATGCTATTCCTATGAGTAGCTTTGCTGGCCTGCCTGGCTGCCTATTCCTTTTCACTCCACCACTTCAATGCCATACTTTTACCGTCAATTTGGCCGTTTGCTTTTTCAATTTGTCATTTATATCGCCAAAGATCCTCGACAACGACATGGAACATAGGGAAAGATATTCAATATATGTACATATGTACATATGTATGTTAGGGTGGTCCAAAAATGCATGTGTAAAATTTAAGTACGAATTTTAATGCTCTCACCGCCTATGATGTTTTTATTTCGAAATCAAAAAATATTTATAGGCCGCTTAAAGTGCTAAAAGCTTTCTATGGATTTTATATGGTGAAAACCCCATACAAATGATACAAAATCCTTGAAAATCAATATTTTTCCATCGGAAACTCTGTTTCTCCTTAGGAGACCTCCAATAATAATAATCAATTGTTTATTTTACCATTTCTTAATACTAGCGGTTTTTTATGGGTCCCCCATTGTATTTTTTTGGAGTTATAGCGGACCTATTTATAAAAATTAGTTAATATTAAAAAATTGTTAAATAAAAAATTTTGTATTATTATGGAAAGTCTCCTGAAGAGAAACAAAGTTTCTCGATCGAAAAATACTGATTTTAAAGAATTATATACCATTTCACCGAAAATTTGTTTTTTCACCATAGAAAACTTTGTGCGCTTTGAGCGACGTCTAAATATTTTTTGATTTCAAAATAAAAAACCAGGGGTATAATTTTTTCGGTTTAGAACATTCCTAGGGTGAGAGCATTAAAATAGAGACTTTACTTTATTTGAACCACCCTAATGTATATGCATACATACATGCATATATACTTTTGAATAATGTGTGAATAGCTGCATGTAAATTTCAATTTATTCGTTAGGAATAGTCCATCCATCTGCGCTTGGCCAAGTTTGACATGAAATGAATAGTTGTTTCATTTACGTTTGTTTTATTTGGTTTAGCTACTGTACACATCTACATATTCACAGCAAATTTCTATGCAATACCCAATTTTCTAAAGCAATTTTCTAGCCATTCGGCTTTCTTCCTATGCAATGTTGTGAAAATGCTCAAAAGTAATTAATCTTGTTCGGAAGCCAAAATCATATATATATATAAGTATATATACATACATACACATTTAAATTTGAAGCTGTTGTTGCACATGCAGCACTGCCCATTGCCTGCCTCTCATGGGATTCTGACTACAATTTCCAGTGCATGTATAAGCTGCAAGGTTTCGCTTTCACTTCAAATTCTATATATTTCCCATAAAGTAATTCATCAGTCGGTTGGTTCCCAAATGCTGCATGTGCATACATTTACAATTTTCCATTTTCCATTTTTTTTAGAATTGTTTAATTTGTTGAAAGCTTGAAATACGTACCTTATCTGACCCTCTGCTGCTCCTCCATTGCTCTCCCTGCGCACTTTTTTCTGGCTCATACCATATCTAATAGATGACTGTAAGGTAATTGCATTTAGTTCTCATTGCTTAGCTGTAGCGTATGTATGTATGTACGTATCTATTTTTATTAGTATTTGGTTGTTGATTGATGTGTGGCAGACGTAGACAAACAATTGCTTATCGATTATTATCCGTCTTTGTTGTTGTTATTTTCGACTTTTTTTTGTGTACTCTATGGGTTACGTCAATATGACTTTGCTCATTTTCAAATAGTTTAGTCTCATATTGCAGGTTTTTTTCAATACTCATACAATATTTTTCATATTTATATTGCGTCGTGTCATTTGATCCCTATCGAAAATATTTGGCCAGCGCTTGTTGTCACCAAAATTCTCCGCCATACAGGGTGTGGTTCAGCATTCCGAGAAATTTTCCAGCATATTACCATGGAACTAACTACACAATTGCTGCTCATCTATTTACGATAATCTTCTACACATTGCCACGCACGAGCAGGTCTCTTTGTTTGCCCTCGCTCCGCGTTACACTTGAAATACAATCTTCTGTGTGTGCTGCAAGCGCTTAGCCTTGTAGTACTCGGTTTTATGTTTCTGTTAGATAATATGAAACATGTGTTCGAAGTAAATTTTCTGGCTTTTAACAAAATCTTACAGCATTTTTTTCGAGTTGTATAAATCTATGTACGGTCTGTTTTCAGCTGCTTAGGGTCGAATGCAAAGAAACCCGCTCAAGAGTTTCAATATTTAAAATTTCAAAAAAAAAGTGTATTTTTTGGTATTCGAGTTTCTGAGAATTGAATGGAAGAAGAGCACCCACGAATTCTGAAAAAATTGCAAATGAAAGGTTTATTTCGAAATGTAACTATGGGCACTCACGGGCAGTCTGCACACTCAATTCCTACATAAAAGTAGGAAGTCTCAAATTTTCAAACTTCATACTTCATATGCCGAATTTACACTCCGCATTGAAAAGATAAATACCTATGACGATACAATTTCCACTTTTATTTTGAGTGTGATGCTATTGGGGGGTTTCATGCCCAAATAGTGTTTAAAAAATGTTGTTATTTACAATGTAAAATAAATAAAATATCTAATGGAAAGAAAAAATATATACATATATATTTTAAAGGCTTTAAAATGTTTTTACTTATATCGATGTATAGGGTTACCGGAAAAGTCATCCTATATATTAAAGGCATTATTATTTAGGTCATCTCTGGTTAATTTGATGTTGATGTACCGGATTTTAGTGCCATCCGCAACGCAGAGTCCCCGCAGTTCCCGACTCCTGTACTGGTATCAGTTGTCGCATACCACCGGCCGCGGGACACCAAACAAAAGAAATATCTTTTCTTCGAGAAGCATACAGATGTCCTTCGCCATGCCAGTCCGTGAGGGAAACAACAGCAGAATTTTCGAAAAGTAATCAACGACCGTCAAAATATACTGATAGTCTTGGGTCGACTTCACCAAAGGCCCTACCAGAACTACACAAAAACAGACCGAATCAGTTTTGACACCCAGGGCTCACTATTAGAAACCTCATCTATAACTGACACACTACGAGACAACATATCTGGAACCATATGTTCCTTCCCTTCCGGTGAACAATCTCAAAATCTTACTATTGAAGCTTCAAAGTTCAACCCGCCAACCTACCACAGGAATCCTTCAAATTATTAAGCAAAACCAGTGAATAATTATCTGTAATAACTGTGCACCTAGCACCCTCAACATATGGTCGCAATTTCTCAACCGCCCACAGCACCACTAGACACTCACTTTCCGTCGTCAAGTAATTCTTCTCGTTTTTACTCAGGGACCTACTCAAATACGCTATAACCCTCTCACCGTCCTCAAATCTCTGGGTCAACACTGCTCCTATTCCGAAATCAGACGCGCCTGTTTCGATTGTGAAAGGCCCCTCGAAGTCTGGGCA